CTACCACCACTACCACAACCACTACCCTACCAGCTTACCACCACCACCAAGACGAAGACGACCACTCGTACTCCTGTTGCTACTCCTTCGCCTACTCCTTCCCCGGACTCCTACTGGCACTGGTATCAGCACCACCACTGCTAATGCTGCACCACTACTATCAGCGCCGTCGGCATCATCATCACAGCTGACAGTGGTTGCGAGAAGTACTCGCCGGCAACCTCTCTGCAGCTACTACCAAAGCCTGCCAGGACTACTAAAAAAGTCAGCATTACCGTCATCTTCATGCTACCCCCGCTCCTCCTCATCATCATATCAATCATCATCTGGATCGTTAACAACAGGTATACACGGAACAGAAATGCAAGAAGCACGGGTACCTCAGCAAGCAGTCAACACAAACCGTCGAGGAGCTCCGAGTGATTTTGGCAGAACTGGCGCAGTGTGCCGCCCTTTCTATAGAGCACTTGTGCAAGCGCCGGGAATCTGCGCTGAAATTCCAGGATATCGCTGGATCGAATCGAACCTCCGGGACTTAGGCTCCATTGTAGTTCCTTTTTGTGGCTCATATCTTAAGGTAATCCCAGAAAGGAACTACAATGGAGCCTATAGGTATACATTGGATGTAGGGAGTCTCAAGGCGGTATAGGGTGTAGGATTTGGGCCCAGTTAGGGCTTGACTCGGCAATGTGGGAGACATAGGATCGACCAGCTGCCATTCGTTTCTGAATGGGGAAGTTCAAAGCAGACAAAGAGAAAGATACTAATTATAGTGCCAAGCCCATGAAGACCAAAAGCCCCGAGCCGCAAATCTCAAAAACCCTCAACACTGAACGCCCAAGAGTCCCGAATCCTATGCACTCCAGATCCCAAAACACTGAACACTCTCCCTAAACCCTAAACCCTAAACCCTAATCCCCTAAACCCTAAAGCACTATAAGAGCTTTCTGCCTCCCCGAGCAGCGATGAACTTTGAAAGCTGTTTCACAGCCTCTGGCCTCGCACAAACTCCGCAAGCTTAGGGATTAGGGATTCGGGTTTAGGGCTTAGGGTTTAGGGTTTAGGGTTTAGATGTCGGACAGGCAGCCGCGAAAACTAATTTCAGCACCTCTGTGCGGACAAACGCAGCCAAGTTGCTCCGAGCCAGACGACAACTCCAGCTTCCATGGACCTTTTGCACCACCCACTACGGCGAAGAGCTCCTGTGAGAGTATGTGTGTGGCTTCGTGCGGGCATCGCTAAGGTGTAGCATAGTAGCACTGGGCGCAATCTGTTCAACAAGAACATGTTAGAAAGGTCTTGATACGATAGTATGTCTGGAAACGGGTTGCGCAGCACAGGGTAATTATTGTGGGGGTCTCACAGAGCGATCACAAGGTGCGAACTCTGAAGCTTCAGTGGGACTAGGAGGCTGTTGCGTTTGGGCTGATCAGACGGACTGTACAGGGCTTGAGGGATCTTTGAAAGGGATCTCGGGGTGTATTACACGCTTAAAGAATATGTTGACTGTGAGAATATGGTCTACACTCTACTTGCGAACAGAATGGCTTACTCAGGATTTGAGGCTTTGGGTACCTCCCGCCCCCCTGGCTTCACCCTTTAGTGGAAGGTCTTTGTGGCTTCAGAGATATTCACTCCAGGGTCTTCTTTCCGAGAATGGGCATAGAGCCTATAAGGTGAATGTTGGCACGGCAACCCTGAATAAACCTAAACCGGATCCAGGACAGCTTTTGGCGGATCTCCCACGGGCTCCTTCTTGTTCTCACAGAAGCGGCGCCAGTTCGACACCGACTTGATCCGCTTCTTGTGGTGCCCGTGCTTGCTTTGGAATTCGCCTGAACCGTTCGCGTTCTCATGGAGCGGGCGACCAAGTCTTATGATGTGGCCATATGAACTGTAACTACAACGGCATATCCAAGGTCAAACAAGATTGAATTTGGTAGGACTTGAGGAAATTGTCAGAGTTTACACGGCACCACTTCATTTCTGGAACTGGCAAGGGTATCAGGTGGCCACTCCCAGGGTTACCTTCTACAGGCTGCGAAATTCGCTGCGACATGGACAACAGCCGAGGATTCATGGCTGAGAATGTTGAAACAAGGCCGGGAGTAGGGATTGTAGTGTCATATGGGGTTAAGCTGCCCGAATCTGCAAGTCCAAAGACACGCGAGCCCGCATGAAAAATCAACCTTCTGGGAAGTCTTGCAGCCACCTTCTAGCAGAGGTGCCTAAACGTTGGCAAGAGATGGATCCGCCATGCTCCTTTCCCAGGAATTGTGCTCAGAGTTAATTAAGTCTTCTGGCGGAGGGCTTGTAGGTTTTAGGGTGTATGGCACGCTTTGGCTTTCTCTTTTCGGAGCTGCTTCTTCGGATTTTGTGGGGATGGGTCTGTGGTTCCCTAGGTAGGTAGTCACTACGAGACTGCGGAAGGCGGAACTGCCGCTGCACTGTACAGGCGTTGGTGCTGTCGGGCGCCTTTCTCCAGAGCTTGATGTTCCCGAGCGTTCTCAGACAAGCATTTGGGAGTCCGTCTCCAGATTTGCAAGGGAGAAGCAATCACAGATCCGAAACGCCAACATATCCCGTGTGATGATAAAAACCTACGAGCAGTGAGACTGTACAGCTCCCACATTGACATCTAAAAGCCATGGGAAGAACAGCAACTCACCAATGCCCCAGCCCTAGTGAAGCCGTAAACGCCGTAAACCCTAGGCGCAGGTTTAGGGTCTAGGGTCACTCCGACCTTCACGAACTGGACGAGAAGGCCGGCGATGAAGTCATCATTGGAGGGCATGGCGACATAAACGCTGCACCCCCAAGCCGAAGTGTCGACACGCAGCAGATTTCCTAAACCCTGAAACCTGGCAGCTAAACGATACACACCCAAATACCGCGGCCCAATATACTCCAAGCTCCGAGCCAGCTACGGTGCTCTCGACAGACTCTAAAGCCCAGCTTCAGAGACCGATTGGAACGGTAGCCTTACACCGAGCTCCCCGGAGGGCAGCAGCTTAAGCAAAGAATTCTGCAGCAGAGTTACTGGTAGCGGCTTAGAGGTTCGCGTCCAAGTTTGAGAGATGCTTGTCCCCGTGGCTTTGCTTAGAGCTTCTGATGTTGGTTTGCTGGGGTTGTGAGTTTAGGCCAATTTTAAGCCTTTCCGCTTCGCGCTTCCTGGAAAGCCCGAAACCCTAAACTGGGGACTCTGGCCATTGCGGGGGCTTTTTTTGTGGCTTGAAGCGACTCAGGCGTCTTGCGACCTTGAATGCAAGACGGCCGGTTTAGCGGTTTAGGGTTTAGGGGCCCCATTGCGTTGCACATGCACGCGCTTGTCTACGACTGTTTATAAGGCTCAAGGCCCATCTGGAAGATGCTAGAATCCAGCATTTGTGCCTTTGATATAAGGCCTGGTTTATTGATCCTCCCCTTCAGCAGGACGTAGACCCAAAGCCCAAGAATCTTGGAGAATGTAAGCCCCAAGCCCAATAATGCCCAACAGCTGCCCAACCCCCCCCCCCCCCCTTCCCCCCCCCAAGCGTTGGGGAAGTTATACTTTACCACTTTATGCCTATATAGGGCCATGAAGTGCCATGTTCCTAAGTTTTCAGATCCTCCACAGCGCAGTCTGAGGCACTTGAGGATTCTAGTCACCTCGATACGGCGACCTCACCTCGCTCTTCCTGGAATGACCCCCCTCCGAATATGGTTTAGCATCACTTATAAGAGACGGGTCCTCAAATCACGCCAAGGGTTTAGGATTTTTTGGGCGGTTTTGGGGGTTTAAGATCAGGGTTTAGGGTTTAGGGCATGCATACTCCTGCTACTGCGGTCCCCTGTTTTCTGAAACTCGCAGATCTGCCCAACATGATTCACCAATGAGTGTTTAGGGATTGCATGAGATTGATGGGGTGTTGGGTTTGGGGGCATGAAATGCTTAGCAGGCAGGGTTTACTTTCTGGGATTTAAGGGCTTCTACGGAATATTTCCAAGGTTCTGAAGGGCTTTCAGGTTGAGTAGGCAATCAAGACTCACAGCAACCCAATTGAAGCGGCTCCTCCTTCGCGCATTTTGCCTAAAGTGAACTTGAAATTGTAACGAGGCCACGAGGCTCTGTAGCAGAGAAGAGCTCTACATGGAGGATCATGGGACTTAGTAAGTAAGGTTATAAGTCCCTTAATTGGGGTTATAAGTATAGCTACCCTAGTTATAACCCTACTTCTGAGTCCCATGATCCTTTAAGCAGAGCCAAGCTCGATCCATGGGACATAAGACTGAATGTAATGTAGGGGCCTTATTTAATAATTAGAATAGGGTTTTTGGGGGGCACCTTATGATAAGTATAGTAGAACATACCCCCAAACCCTATTCTAAAAATTAAGGCCCCTACAT